TTTTTTTTTTTTTTGAGAGATTTTCGCTATAGGGTGTGTGCGCTCACCAGACAGAGAGAGACAGAGAGACAGAAAGCGAGAAATCACCCCCCAGGGGGGATGGTCATGCCACAATCCCTTCTCCTCCATTCTCTCAGGATCTTGGGCACGCACACACGCGCCCGGCATGAGTTTTAAGCCACCGGGTCCAGAACGCGAACCGCGGTCGACTATGTGGGAGTCCAGTGACATAGCCATTATGCTAACTGCTGGTTCCCTAGATCTCAAATTCTTTATCCATAAATATTTTCTCTCAAGAGCTGTAAGGCTTTAGTAAGATCATTTGTGTAATTACTTATCATGGTGACTTACATAGTGAGGAAATGAGGACTTGCTCATGTGTCGACCTCATGTTTAGGGCCTGGAAACTTTACAGCCTTCACCTTATTAAACTAGGCTTCTTTAGGGATGAGTCCTTGTTCAAAATAGTCACCTGCTCTGAACTACAAGGTCTATGAAAACAAGGCCTGGGTCTGACTCATTAACAACTGTATCCCTTGGAATTGTGTTAAATGTACACTTGTTTAATAAATAAATGGGTGACTGAGAGAATGAATAAAAGTGATAATCTCATGCAATGCACAAGAAGGCCTCAGCAAGACACTGTCCTGAGATATAGGTAACAAAAGTGGAGAGGCAGGCAGACTTACAAGAAACATCCTTTGGTCCAACTCCTTTCAGTTTTGACCCTAAGTATCATCAATTTGGAGTCTCTAATAAAGACTTCTCTAGGGATAAGAGTGGGGAATTCAGGAGTTTCTATCAATACTTAGAAATGTACACATATGATAGAAGAATAGAGAACTGTAGTTTGGTACTAGAGAAAGTATTTTGGCAAGTGTTAGAAGAAAAACCACAGCATAAGTGGAACCAAAAATAATGCCATACATGGATTTTCCCAGAAGTCACAAGCTAAAGATATACTTAGGACAGACAGAACATGAAAAAGGGTGTGCCTCACATATCTGTCTCATCTATTGTATCTTGCTGAAGCTAGGCAGGGCATTTCTAAATGTACACAATACTGATATCATACTTTTAACTTAAACTAAATGATGTAACGTTTAGTTTAGATTCCCATGACTCAGAGTTAAAATATTTTCCTAGTCACTGGAGAAAAACCTAAAATCTACTGATACTCCAGTAAGGCAAAGGTAAGTGAAGAAGGAAAATCAAAAGAGGGAGTAGAAAAAGAATAGAGAGTAGAAGCATCAAAAGAACTATGATAATAGATCTAGAAATATTTTATAATTCTACATAATTTGTTTTATATCTTATTCTTTGGTGATGCTTAATAGAATTAAATAAATATGAAGATAGTAATGAAGACATAAAAGGTTATTTTAAATGACAGAAAAATGACACTGCAGGTGGAGAAAATGACTAACATAAAGAGTGGAAGAGGAAGATGGGAAGTGACCAGTAAAAGAAGAGTGCAAAAAAGGAAGACAGGAAAAAGGAGAAAGCTTAAATGGGGTAGCTAGAGAAAAGTATGCAGACAGTGTACAGTGTGTGAATGTATGTATGAGAGAGAAGAGGAGATTGAAATTAAAATGTGTTAACTAGGCATGGAGAGAAGTGTATACAGGAAAACTTGGGAGGCTACAGGAAAGCAAGAGCTAATATGGTTAAGTATTTAGGGTTCATTGTCTCAACTCTTTCAAAGACTTTTCCATACCACATTTTACATCATCCTCTTGGTCTTTAAATTTTACTAATGGGAAATCTAATTTGTATATTACATCTAATTTATTTCCCCTTAATCCATTTATTCATTATCCAGATGCTTTCTTGGAAACAAGAAATCATATTTTGTAAGGATATACCATAAAACCCAAGGTTTCCTTGAATTTTAAGGTACATTGAAATGAAGTGCAAAATGTAAGAATGAAAAAGTAAATTTAGTAGAAACTTTGATCTTAGCCCAGAAGTGTGCCAGCCTCATGAATTTAGTATTATAAGAATATCCCACAGTTTAAGTATATATAATAGAAAAGAGAGGTTTGTGTTGCCTTTATTTGAGAAAATAATTACACATTGGAGAATTGGTAAATTGCCTATCCAATGTGAAGCAAATTCCTTTTCTACACCTAGAAAGTAATAATTAGTAATGTACTTTTAAATCATATGAAGTTTAAAAAAAAACACTATTTTTATATATAAATCTTTTAACCTCCTGAGACCTCATTTATTCCATCTGTAATAAAGGAATTCTTTTTAGGTAAGTGTCTCCCTATTTCAGCCTGAGCACCAGTTATATTGGTTTTAATTTGAGACTACTGTGTGTTGAGTCTCATCTGGAGAAAGGGTTCCAAAATAATGACATTATAAAACCAGCACACCAGATGGTTTCTCTCCCACCCACCTATGCTCCAGGAGGAAGGGCTTCAGCACTCTTACTTTGTCTGACCAGGCCTCCATCAGGAATTTCCTCCTCATCCTTTTTCACACCCATTCCCAACCTCTTTACCTTAGGCCCCTCCTCTGCCTTCCTATGCCTTTCTGGGGCCCGGTACAGACCCTTTTTCCCTTCTTCTTTGCACTTATGACTATTTATTTATATATTCATCCAGCAAGGATTTATTGAATACTTACTATGTGCTAGATGTTGTTCTAGGAGTTTGGCAAATATCAATGAATAAAGCAAAGACCTCTGTGTAGCCTACTTTGAAGCAGATGAATATGTACAATAAATAACCAGTTTTGAAAATAAATAAATTACACAGTATACCATATGGAGATAAGTGCTATAAACAGAAGAAAAAAAAAACTGAGTAAGGTACAGTGGATTAAAAATATGAAGAGTCATGCTGAAGAAAGAAATACATGACCCTAGTCCTACAATTTTATGTAAGAAATCCACCTAGTCCAGTGTAGTTCTTTGAACATTATTCTGCATTGGCCTACAAAGTCATAATTCTTAGAGATTATGATAAAGACAGTGCTCAATAAACAGCCATATTTGTTATAGTTAGATCAGAGCCAGGTGACTCATGCTAGCCAATGAAATATGAGAAGAGGTTAAAAGCGAATGTGGAGGGCCAGCAGGCGGTATCGTGGTTAAGGCATTGGATTCCACATGGCTGACTCAGTGATTGGCATCCTGGACTTGGTGGCTTGAAAAGCATGCAGGGCACATGTGCACGCATGCCCCAAATCCCAAAAGGAGAATGGAAGAGAAGGGATTGTGGCATGGCCATCCCCCTGGCCCTTTCTCACTGTCTCTCTCTCCATCAAGCACATGCACTCTATGGAAAGAAAGAAAAAAGAAAAACACCCACTACTGTGTCTCTTTTATCTCACTGTTACCTTGCTATGGTGATACTAGAGGCCATCAGCCTAGGTACCATGGCTACAAGATGGAGAGGTTTGCCCATCCAGCATCTAAATGCAGACATGAGCAATAAACAAACTTTGCATTTATGCCACTGAGATTTCAAGGTTACTTATAATCATAGTAACGACTATATGTGCTAAGAAATATGAAAAAAATTAAGTAATTGTTAATAATCATTTTCTGCTTTTTGCTGATGAAAAGCACTAAAACTTACACATTTGTACTTCCTCATAGATTGACTGAGGAATAAAGGTACAATTCTGCCAGAAAAGGAATGAGTAATGGTAAATTATATTTAGGCTTCTCTTTTAGGACTCCATAAATTTTCAATGAAGTATTTTAAGCAACTATTTTGATTTGTGAACACGATTTACTTTTCTTGGATTCATATAACAGTAAAATTTCATTGAAAAAAATTACTTGGTAGAAAATGTGTAATTTGTTTTAATCTAATGAAAATATTTCTTGGGCTACTCAAAGTTTCCTGGCTATTTCCCTAACTTACATCTCAATTTGGAAGAATACTTTTTGTATAAACATTTTTTTAGAACAGCACTCATTTAAGAGACATTAAAATATTAACAGAATCCAGACAGAGTTTATAAGCAAATGCAAAGCCCAGGCAATATAAGCTCTAAGCTGTGCACTGGAGAAACTACAATGTAAACTTGCTTGTGCTTTTATTGAACTCATGGGGTCATGCTAATACCCTTGTCTATATTTCCTTTTAGAAGACCCAAAAAAATGATTTTGGAAGAGTCTCAAATTCATAAATATTCATTAATAAATAAAATCAACTTTACAGAAATATTAATATTCAGTCAAACTTATAAGAAGTTAAAGCAAAACACCATTTAGGAGTAGCAAGAAGACCCCAAAGTTCTCCCTATAGCCTGAAATGGTACCTAAAATCCTACCATTAGTGTCTCTCTCCTTTTAATTCTTAAAATTTTTTCTCTGTTGTCTCTTAATCATAAAAATCCAGTTATCTCTAGAATGAACACTATTTAGAGGTCATCCCATGAATACTTAAAGAGGATAACTTCAACAGAAAAGATCAAGACATAACTGGAAAAGAACAAGCAAAGAAGACTATGCTGAGCTGCAGGGAACTGGGTTGAATGGTGCGAAGATAGTAATAATAAAATACATGGGGTAAAATAAAGGACAGTAGATTACTAACTGATTAATAAACCAGAATATTCTTCTTGAATACCAACTATTTTCAGTATATTATGCCAGGCACTGCACAAAGTACAGGATTATACGAGATAGAATGACTGTCTTTACAGCTATGGTCTAGTTTTCAGACTATTATGGAGCCAAAACATGGACGGATGGTTAGATCCAGAGCTAAAAATGAAAGTGTGGCCCTTATTTATTCTTAGCAATCTGCCCAGGACTTCAGGGAGAACAAAGTCAGGCAAGAGAAAGGCATTATGGGATTGAAGGGGAAAAGATTGAGAAGAGAAAACAAGGATGAAATGAACGATGAACTGATAAAGCCATCCTGCCCTTGATAAACATTTTTACTCTAGCGTGAGAAAAGATTACAAGCTTTGATGCCTGGAGAATTTTATGTTCTTACACCAAATAAAAAGAAGCATAAATTGGATCTCAGATAATCAGTTTGTTACACTGCTTTTTGTTTTTGAGATTTTTGTTTATCTTTTTGAAACACTTACCATCAAACTGTGCAAGTCTGTTAATATCTGCTCCAAGTTCTGAGGTGACTGATAGCGCATGACGGACTTTTAGGTTTGTTTCCCTGTGAAATTAATGATGTGACATGCATTTGTATATGAAACAGTCCAAAAACTTCTTATCCAGAGCAATCAGGTGGATGCAGCACATGCAAAACTCAACCTACAACATTCAAGAAATCTTCCGCCCTCTTTTATGATATTTACACTCTTCCCACTGTCTCAGGAAAGAAGGCAAGGCTTCCCAGTCTCCTAAGAGTTGGCATTCCACCCACAACACATCTGCATAACACCACACTAATCTGTTTTGCAACGTGAAAGAACAGAGGACATAATAAATATGGTTTCATTCGAACCTACTCAGACATCATGCATGAGTTACAAAGCACATTAGGAATGGGAACATAGCTGCCAAATAAAGGAGGCCAGTATCACTCAGAGTGTACTATCTGTGTAGGAGTTTGACTTGCATAAGATGGTCATGGCGAATTTCACAGTAGCTAAAACTTAAATGGGAAAATGAATACGGCTTTCTTTTTCTTGGAGAGTCAACCAAGAAACAAACCCATAAGACTAGAATAGTACAACCAGACAAGCTCAGCAGGTCACATTGAGCTGGTTATCTTCTTACAGGCAGGACCACACATACGTTGGCCTGATGGCTGCCCGGGATTCATGAAATAGACAGCAGTGAAAATTCTACAACAATCCTTCTTGTATTCCGTTGAAGGTTCTTGCCATCTCAGTTGTCTCACTAAGTTCAATCTAATTTTCTTCTATTGTAGCTTAAGATCATCTTAAATTGAGAGTTTTCAACTCTAAGAATTCTATATTTTATGTAATGTTCAGTAATAGATTCATTCAGTTGACAAATATCTACAAATGTCTATTGGACATATATCATAGTCACCCAGAATACTCAATACTGCCTCAAGAGGATTATCTCTTTTTTTTTT